GATGATGATGATGATGATGATGATGATGATGATGATGATGATGATGATGATGATGATGATGATGATGATGATGATGACACATATGATGCATCATCTCACATCACAATGGATGGTAATTATAATTGGTGGGATGATGAGGATGCTGAGTTTGTGTTTGTTGACACTGGAGTCAATGACAGCAAGCATCAGAACCAGTAAGAAAGATGCACTCTTTCTTTATCATCATTGACAAACTCATCTCCTTATAATTATAGACAAGCATACACTCCTTGTGAATCATCATCAGAAGAAGAACACAGTTATTACCCAAATTATTATTATAATCCCAAAGAGCACATATACAACTACCCCCACTACTCATCATCATCAGTGGAACTCAATTGTGATTCCAAAACCAGAGAAAAAACCCACTCCACTCTTCCCTCATCATTTATCATTGACAGAATTTGGTGATTCCAGAACCAGAAAAGAAATTCCAGATTAAGATGGGAGCAACATAACTTTTAACTCATTATCAGCAAGGCTGGTACTTGTAGAAGGGAATTCAGGTTTTGGTAAACTAGTAAAAGCAGAGAAAAAGGCAACCAATACTGATTCAGTTGAATTTGATCCAAAATTGAAACTCTTTATGGATTTACCAGTTTTCATTGGGGGTTTTAAGCCCACTGTGGAATTGTCAGATTTTTATTCCAAAACAAAAATCAAGATTCTGCTTGGTCTACTTGTATTGCTTTGGCTTATATTGAGATTGTCATGAAAGACTTTAAAGAAGAATGGGGAATTGTGTTATGAACAGCATTAAATGAGTTAAGTGGGTATGATTCTAGTACTATTGAGAAGATGATCCAAAAAACCAGGAAATGGGTTACTAAGTGGTTTGCTTAATCATCAAACTGGATAATGGTGGATAATAATAAATGTAAATATTGGTTAATTCATATACCCCTTCCCATGATTTGTACCTCTTAAAATGTGTCAATAAAAACAGCCAATTAAAATTTAAGGCAACACAATAAAATGCACACACAGACTATAAATTGATAAGAGGAAATCCATGATTATTCCCAATGTTATCACCTCCGACTTTTTCGTATTCTTCACCATCAATATTATCAAATTTTATTGCTTCGGAATTTTCATCATTTTCGCCTGTGAAATTCTCAACCAATAGAAGTTTAAATGTATCCTACACAAGTACACATGTAGGAGAAATACAGTATCTATCTCCTACTGGTTGTAGTCTTTTATTTAAATATTTAATATCCAATTGTAAACTATTAAACGTACTAGTAACACCTGAGTTTGCACTCCTCAACACCTAATACAACTAACACACAACACTACAGCACACTTTAACTATGGAATTTTTATGTGCTGTATAATAATCACATCTATTATTTCAGCTATAAACTCTGTACAAAGCAGAAAGACATTGAATTCAACGGAAACTCTTTATTTTAATTTATACATTATTAGTATTGGATTGTGGAATTACAGTACGTAAACTACCCCGTGATCTAATGAATTGATTATCACCATCATTGTTACGTAACAAAATTCCGAAAAAATTTTCTTTGGACAGACAAGTGTAAAGATATGGGGAAGAAGCCGTTCATTGATCGCAAAACAGCAAAACATTCACCGATCACAGTGTGATCCATTAATCAACGATGCAGAGGCATCTTCGCACGTACTTGTAGAGCACATTTCCACCAACTTGAGGGTAACATTTCATGTACATTGATCTTGTTGAGGCGATAAGAATGTCAATGTCACCTAACCTTTGATCAAATTACCATAACTTTTTATAAGCTTTCCCAGTTGGTACATGTCTGATGAATACGTACAATAGCCAGTAGATGTTATTGTGTTTCCAAATTTTTAATTCTATTATACTCGCCACAACTGTGGTATGTTGTATAATATGATCTGTTTGTAAGATATGTGCAATATATCGTCTCATCGGGGTTGCCACGAAATCACTTTACGCCAATCCGCTACCGACCGATGTCTATATTTCTTGGCGAACTTACGTGCTATTTTATGCTGTTGCTTTAGGAGGGGGGGGTTTTTTTTTTTTGCCTTCTTAGTGCGCGTCGAATTGTATTAGGAGAAATTATAGTATTCTCATCAGATATCCCAATTTCCATTATGTAATCTGACTAATCCAGTGAGCCACACACTTTGCCATTTCTCGTAATTCGTTCTCAGTTTTCAGTTGACAAGAGATGCAGGGGACTGGTAGATGAGGAGTATGGACATTAGTATACAAAAAAAGAGCTGCTGCAAGAAAAATGGGGTTAAATGTTTACAAAACAAAGGAAAGTTTCAGTACAATTATAATCAATACATGAAGTTATTAGCAGAAAGAAGTTTGTAGACTGTATTGGGTAAATTCTCAGGTTAGTCTATTTTTATTGCACCTAAAGGGCAATGCTGGCAAGTTAGACAATCATCACAGTTAAGCCTTTGTGAATAAGTTGCTATTACTGTGAAAGTTATCTATGAAAATTTTTACTTGAATCTTGAGATAATTCATTAAAATATGCTGCTGTGCAGTTTTAACTTGAGCTTTTTATTTGAGTCACTAATATTAATTGTGTGATGATAAAATTCATATATATAATAAAAGTGCAAGCATATAATAAGTTGAAATCATGTGAGCAAAATGGAAATGCAGACAATTCTTTTATTAACAGTGATCTGCCCATGACAAAAGTCACAAGTCTGTTATAAAATTTATTAGTAAACTAGGGAGTTTAAAAATTGTGCTTTGCATGTGATGCAACAATAGTTGGGTGTACATATTTAGTGAGTTGATGAGTTTTATTTTGTGGCTTTTCAGTTATTCAGGTTTATTATATACAGTGTGTAAAGAAATTATTGGCAATTACATATTTGATCACTGAGCAACAATGACCATAGCAATCAACATGATTAATACCTTGTTTGATAGCTAAAATGCAGTAGATGTTTTAGCAAAATTTTAATATGCTATTCTTTCTCCATTGCTAACTCATATCTGTAATCTGTACTTTATCAATTATACTAAATTAATTAACATGTTTTCTGGAATAGCCTCTACTATAAAACAACTTGATCTTGTGGTATTCTTTTTTTAATGGCTATTTTAACATTTCAAAGATTTTTGTTGGATTTAAATTATGTAATCACGTGTACATTCTGACTAATGAACTACTGCAACAGTAGGAGTGATTTTTTGGCCAACCTGCTCCTTTTTTTTATCTATACTATCATCTTTTATAGATAGTTCACATTGGAACCTTTGTGGCTTTGTGAATATCTTTGGCTGAGCTTCCTATGTTCCAAAAATGTAATATAGTTTCTTGCTGGTTTTTTAATTAAAACTTGTCATTTTGTTAATATTTGTTAAATAAGTGACTTCTAAAAGACATTACACCATTTAATAAAAGTAAAAGGCAGGTTTTTGTGATCAAAACAAAAACAAGTTTATGTAAATTGGCTTATTTTTGGGAAATTTATGCAATTTAAGTCTATGTAATTTTTTTGCCAATAATTTCTTTACACACTGTACACTGCCCTACCATAAATCACCAATTTCATATTTTTTTACTAGTAAAACATATGAAGTCTTTTTTTTCCAAAAATCTCTCCTGCCCATGTGTACTATGTGAATGACAATGGTTTTTGTATGGTTTTGAAAAAAATCAGCAGTAAATTATATACATTCTTGTTATAAAACTGTAGAATCAAGGAAGTAAGAGTATATGTACTCCACATATATAATCATATATTTTTATACCATAATTTTGTTGCGGTCGGTGTATTATTTGGTTGGGAGAGCCAATAATGATTAGGTGTGTGTGTTCACCGACAGGGGGATATTACCAAATTTAACTCAGATCGCCCCTTACTATTGGCGATTGTCGATTATGACTGAACTAAATTTATACGTGACTTTTTGCTTTCCTAACTTCCTAAACAGAATAAAACCTATACTCGTTTCTAAATAAGGGCCTATAGCAATACCGTAACAACAACAATAATGCTACAGAATCGAAGGGGAATTTAATTTAATTTAAAACAGGGCGTTCTTCGATTTAGTATTTCGACTAGTCGGGTCACTTTCTACTTAATTAAACAATAAAACGGAAATCGATGTCGAATATTAATTATGACCCGCGTGCACTCTTTTATTAGGTGATCTTGCTCAATGGATATATCGCTAACCGAAGTATCTGCAAATAACCTGTAAGCTTAGCTATCTCAGGTATCAATCCGGATCAATAATTTAATATTCATCAACGATAATTAAAAGATAATAAAATATTTGATAGTTTATGATTTAGTATCAAAAGATTCGTAAAATAATTTATTTCCTTGGATAAGAAATCCGTGGATTATAATATGAACAATATTTAGTAACTAAACAACATGCCAAACAACATGAAGATTTGATGATGGGAGAAGCGCTGCTTAAATAATGTCTGCCACCGATAATTAAAACGCTATAATTCCTTATTCCGGCTCGTACCGTCATCGAAAATTGAAACGCTCAAATTACTTAAATTAGCTACTGTTTGTATCTCTACTGCCACCGAATTTTGCAACGCTATTATTTCTATATACAAAATTCTAGTGTGACAATACTAAAATTAACTTACTGCGGGTATTGTTTTAACTGCGGAGGAAGATTTTATCACCTGATTTGCTCAATGCCGTAACAATTTAAAGACTGCCACTTCACAAAGCTATAGCTTTATAATGATGATATATATAATTTACCGTTAATATTAACTTTTTTCGAAAAGCACAATTAATTAGCTTCAAAACCATACAAAAACTATTGTCATTCACATAGTAAAATTTTTTGTAAGCCACAGTAAAACAACTGGAAGAAAATGAGCCGTGAGAACCAACGATACTTTATTTTCGCTTCTTGGAAAAATGGCAGAAATGCAACTCAAATCCATGAAGAGTTGGTGAACATAGAAAGGGAACAAGCATTGTCTATTAGCACAATTAGACGCTGGATTGCTACATTCAAAGACGGGGAAGAAGAAGTTAACATTTCATCGACAATCATTTTACCGACAGTACATAAATTTCATCGAAAACCAATAATAAGTGCGATAAACAATGTGTCACGTGAAATGACTGTCGGTGAAGTGTACTGTCGATGAAATGATTGTCGATGAAATAAATGCCTCCCGAAATTAAGGATAAGGCTCGTTCTGGACGCCCTCGCGAAGCAGTGACAACAGAAAAAAATTGCCAGGGTCGAGGATCTTGTTAGCAACGACCCGTACATTTCTACTATAGAATTAGCTAACAAAGTCGGTATTTCCCGTGAAAGAATTTCTTACATTTTGCATAATGAGCTGAGCCTCCAGAAAAAAAGGGAACAACTGTTCGTGACGTCATGCTTTATTACGACAATGACGCACCACTTAAGGCAACGATCATAATAG